AAGAGCAACTAACCACAGGACATGGCGCAAATGGACACACACGTATAAGACATGTGTACTGAACTTGAGCGGTGGTCTGATAACGGAACGATTCGACTGTTACTCGAATCCCATAATCGGTTTTCTGTGGAGGGCACACCAAACCAACGTGATCTGCTTGACAACCTTCTTTGATTATCGCCAGTGGTTCACGTTCCCACTCATACAGCGAGCCAATTGGTTCTACTTGACAACCCGAAATGCTCATATACTTCGCTAAAACGAGAATTTATCTCAACTGCACATAAACACACATTCAATGGATCACTACTGCTTATTATAGTAGTTTTGTTGAACAAGCATCTGATTGAAATGAGAAGATGTAAATAAGCGATGCAAGTTCGATTAACTATCTGTTAGTGGAAAGCAGTCATATCCAGAACGCTGCACTAACGTGGAATAGCGTAGAAGGGCGTGAAGCTGAGTGTGATTCGACTTCCGACAACGACCGCTTCAACTGGTTGTCCATTATGGAAAATGTCGAACATTATCGGTTCTTTTGGCGGTTTATGAAGCGCGTCAATCCTCGACGCAACACTCAAAACGCTTTATTGAATTACCGGATTCGAAGTTCAAAACCAATTTGAGATGACTGGGAGGTGGCGATTAGAGAATTTGATCAATGAACGCAAAAAAAAAAGATCTCTTCAAAAAGTAACTCAAGCGATATGATACTTCAAAAGAAATTCCAATCATTTCGAGCAATTTTTATCATACGCGTTTCTTGAGGTCGTCTGGAGGACTGATTTAAGACAGCTTTTCGATAATGCATGCTTATGTGTTCATCGCAAACATAACTATAGGATGTTCATCGGTCTTTGACGAAAATTTAGTTTCGGTCGAAATTTTAAGCGATAAACCAATAGAAGTGCATTCAAATATAGTACTTTTTTGGTGATTGTTTCGATACAACCGAGACTGTTTCAGTGGTTGTTTCCGAAGCAGTTTCAATTTGTTTCTGCCCAGGCGTCTTACTGGAAGAAGTATGCGATTGTGATGTTGTGGTCGGTGTTGGCGTTGTGGTGCTCCTGCTGGTGCTTGTAGAGGTGGTAGTGGGAATGGTAGTTGAGGTGGTAGTGGGAATGGTAGTTGAGGTGGTCGTTGGAGGACTGGTGGTGGTGGTAGGAGCCCGAGTTGTGGTTGTTTGTGTTGTTGCTGCGGTGGTGCTCGTAGTTGTTGAAGCAGTCGATAGGGTCGTACTCTCTGTTGTCGGCTCGTGAGTCGTAGATGTGACTGTGGTTGTAGTTGATAACTCACGCGGTTTCGTACTCCGAGTAGATTCAGCAGTACTTTCCGCTGTGGTTGGCTTATA